AGGGTCTAGAAATGGGGCTCAGCAGTGGGCAGAATGAACAGGTTACAGAAACAGGCAATGCTGGGGAGCGTGGATCAAAACAGGGCCCCGTTTTCCTTTGATCTGTATATATTTTCATGTTTTGACACATCCTCTTAAAGCAAAGTCCGCACAGAAAGCAAACAAACAAAATAAGGATCCGCTTTTGTTACCCGTTCATTTCACATTCAGATCACAGGACGTGAGTGCAGAGCGGGGTCTCGGCCTCCAGCATTAAAGTTATCAGGTTGCTGTCAACAACCTGAAGTTAACGGGTTTAGGGCATTTTCCCCCATGCAGTTCTCACCTCCACACTTCAGCTGGATTATGAAGTTGCGTGCAAAACAACAAGTAACAATGTGCATCCGCCTTCGAAGATACATCAAAACACTGTCCCTCTCCCACCATCACTTTGATCATCCCTCTCCTGCCTCTACAGCCTTCTTGAGAGGCAGAGTGGCGAGGAGTAATTAGACAGGGCAGAACCAGGCACTGATCGTCCACGATTAGAAAAATCCTTAACTAATGAAAGTGCCTGAGTGTCACAGTAGGGGCTTTGTATACCTCCTCCTCGGCATGCAAATTAGCTTGCTTTGAAGTTCTTTTTTATTAGCTTAAGCATGGGATTCCTTTGAAATATGAAATGCCTCCAACATTATGCTTTCAGTACTAAATACAGCCTACCTATCACATCGGTTTCTAGCCACAGACTGTCTGGGGAAACCCAGTTTCAGATCCTCCACCTAGTTTAACTACTACATTTTGTAATTAATTGTCATCGTAGTCATCTTCATTACTTCTTCCAAGTTTATAGCATCTTACCTGAGCCCTTTAACTTAGGAAAGACAATCCCTATTATATTATCCCTTCCAGGAAATCTCTTGAAAGCCAAATGGGCAGACGGAAGTTGTTCTTCCTGCCCTGCGTGTCTGCAGGAGCCGCTCAGATTTCTGTGTGCGGCTGTGAGAGAACTTGAGCAGCTCCCTTAAAATAAGCACCAGAGCTTTTTTTTTTCTGCTGTGGGAGGAACCCCAGCCAGGTCAATGGGCGCTACAGCAGCCAGACAAGGAAGGTCATATTTTCAGGGAGAGGATGGGAGAATCTCAGGTGTCACCCCAGCCGTCAGCAGTCCCCTCTCCCTCATTGTGTGCCCTGAGGTGCACCAGTGATGTGTCCGGAGCACCACAGGCTGCTTTGTGGAAGTCGGATGCTCCCTCCTCTGTCTCTCTTGGAGCCAAACAACTTGGAATAACGCAGACTCCCAGCATTATGGAGAGACAAAACTCTTCTGCTGTTGCCCTCTCTCTCTTCTGTGAAGAATTTTCCATCACAGCTTTCAATTCCCAGTGTGGTGACAGATTGGGACTCTGGAGAAGAGGGTTCAAATCCCTGCTCAGCCATGGAAACTCATGGGGGTGTGTGTGGATGTGGTAAAACCACTCCGTATATATCTCACTTACTTTGAGAGCCCTCTGAGGGTTGCTTCACGGCACAGAACACACACAGCTTTGGCAGACAGACCAGTACATATCAGGAACGTGTAGAAGGTCAACAGTTATTAGTTGATTTGCTGTATAACTCTTAATCAGTTAAAAACCTTGGCAGTTTACCAGCGTCAGAGCACAGATGCATCTTTGAAAGATCCTGGTGAAGCCAGTGTACACTAACTAACAACTCAGACAAAGCTCCCGTTTTTTCCTCATAAGCAACTGCCATCTAAAATGTTTTCTTGCATTTTGTATATACAAGAGGAAACTGCATGCTTAGAGCAGCCACAGAACGTGAGGAACAACAGAGCAAGTCAGGAGAACACCCTCCACCTTCAGCTCTTTCACCTTTTACAAACCAGAGCCGAAGTAGCTTTTTAAAAAATGGGCAGTGTGTGTGCTCCTAAGGATCATCCTGACATCAGCTGAATCTACCGTTTCAAGCTTGCTTGGTAGCAACTCTGCACAATGCTTTTGCAGATGGGGAGCGGAGACCACCTAGCAACTGTGCGATGCTTTTGCAGATGGGGAGCGGAGACCACCGTCCTTTCCCACTTCGGGAACCCCTGGTTGCTTCGGCATGTCCTGAACGACATTTGCCTTGGTTGAACAAAGTTGTGCGCGTGCACACACACACCCTCTCTCTGGCAGCAGTGCTACTTACTCATATTAACAATTTAGTTTTGAAACAGCACGTTGCAGGAACCAGTTTTACCTACGACATTTTGCGTGCAGCGAATGGGCAAGAAAACAGGTGGTTTCCTATGTGCAGGCCTTGCCTATAATATCATACAAAACAGAGACAGCCTGCGTGAAAACCTGCTGCCAGCTATTCTTTTCCATTCAGCCTGCGTTTTAAATCCAATCTGATACTAGTGGTACTAGTACTTTGCGTGTACATATTTCTCTGGAATGGATTAAAGTCAACTCCATTGTCTTCCGGGCAAATTTTTATCTAGCCTGGCTTGGTGGCCCACAGCAATCCAGTTAAGGTCCCTTAACAGAAGCCGCTGGAGAGAGATTTGGACTGTTCTTGTCAGGAGCAGAGGGACAGCCCTGGCTTTCCTGCTTGCTGTGCAGTCCCTGGGAAACCTCCCTCCTAAGAAGATTTGCACCATACAGCTGTCAAAGGCAATTAATTCCCTGGCCCGTCTGTTTGTATTATTATTATTATTAGGAGGAGGAAGAGTTGGATGCGGGGGGGGGGCTGCTGTGGGTTCCTCGGGGCACAGTTTGCCCATCAAGATGGAAAAGTGCCGGCCTCTGAAGTCTGGCACAAGGTTAAACACACCACAGCTTGGTAGATTTTTTTCTGCCAGCTTCAGAACAGAAATAGAACAAAGTGGAGGAAGCGATTGGGGGGGGGGAGCGAAGGGTGAGAAATCTGCCGCTGTGCTCCACAACTGGCCCTCGGAGCCACGGAGCCATTAGCTCGCAAGGGCGCCGAGCGAGGGAGGTGACGTGAGCCTGCTTCAGACGGCGGCCCCTCCAAAGTCAATGGGTGGGGGCAGGACGCCTTCCCGTTTGGTGGCACCGTTCCCAGCACTGCAGAAGAGCTGCCGCCGCGGGTGTTGTGCCAACGCTTGCGCTTTGCGTGACCCAAAGAAGCAGCAGGACGACAGCCTCTTCCAGGCCCTCCCAGTTAATCTCAGCACCTCCCACGTAGCCGCCAGGGAGGGCTGTGGTGCACCGGAAACACGCCGGGTCCCTTGACCCCTCACCCTTCCCGCTGCTCTGAGACGGCAGGTTTCAAGCCTGTGCACAAAACAGGCCCCCTCGGCTGGGGCTCCTTAATTTCTCACCCGCCTGTGGCATCTCTGCAGACGCGGAGATGATGGCAGGCGAAGGATCGGTGCTCCTTGGCAGAGGTTCAGCCTTTGGCATCTCCCATTAAAAGGATCAGGAAACGGGAACAGAGAGATTGCGCCTCTCAGTAGCCTTTTAATGTGAAAACTTTGCAGGGGGCAAGGGAGTAATCCCGCATTTATGTCTGGGAGAAGCACCGTCTCTGTCTGCCACCGCTTGGGGCTCAGTGGCGTTTTGTGAAGATGTACGCAGTGTCCTTCCCCCACAATGTGCACGTTCCGGGAAGGTTTCGAGGGGGAAAAACAGGGCACTTTTGGTGTGAATTGTAACAGGGAGGTGCGATGGAGTGACTCCTTCTGCGTCCTGTCCATGCAGTAAAAAGTGGCTTTGGAGAAAATAAAGAACCCGTCGTGAGAGGGGCATGCAAGCTGACATCATGCTGCCCAAAGGCCTTGAAACCCTCTGTTCTTGCAACTGAATTTAGGGCGTTCTGGGAAAGGAACACTCATTTCCCTTTATAAAACTCCCTATGACGCCCTGATTTATACAAACCAGTACAGTACAGAGACAAAAATATGATTTCTAGATTTCAAAACCTAGCCGGCTTTAGGATTGTAAGTATGCGTGTTTATGCCGTCAAAATTCTACCATCTTACTTCTATAGGTGCTAGCTCTGAATTTTATTGCTTAAGTTTCCCTTTCTTGAGCTTCACTCTTTGGCTCTTGCAGACATTTGACACATACCCCTTTTCCCCACATATCTTAGTTATGAATGAAATCGAAACTGGCACCTTCCTGGAATGCCAGGAAGGTTGGTGAGAAACATGCAGGCACATACGGTGCTTCTTCCCCAAAACCTAACTAATGTGGCTAACTAAAGTTAACTGATGTTACGCACCGGGGGGGGGAAGTGACTGACGAATAGGTCTTTATTGGGTCTAAGCGTCCGTGAACGGCAGGCACCCCCTTCTTCAGGTGCAGTTCATGGAAGGCCGCAGTGGAGCAAACTTGTTGGCTTGAAAGATTCCATGGGATTCTTTGGGGTTGCTGTGTTTTTTGGTTTGTTTGTTTTTTATTTTTTGGGCTGCAACAGCCTAATAGTGCTACCAGCTGCGTTTTTCTTTTTTCTAAACAGTCTCTGCTTGGCGCACTTAATGGGCGGGCTTTACGCTGAGCATCCCAGCAGCCACGCGGGTTGGCTGCAGAATGGCGAGAAAGCACTTGGGGGAGGGGGGGTTTAACAGCACGGAAGTGAAAAAGGGCCAGAACTTCGTTCTTGACAGGATATGATCTGGGAGGGCATGGCTTCCATTTTATTTTTAACACACCGTTTAAGTAACTTATATAAACACGAAATGACAAAAATTGAAATAGCCCAGAGATTTAACGCGTGCACTTAAGTTACAAGTCTCTTGCGTAAACAGCGTGCTAAATTCCGAGATGCCGCAGGGAAAGGGGCTTCAGAATGGGAGCCGGCAGGGCTATAGCACAGGAGCCAGGACTCCCTGAGGTTTTGACTCAAAAGGTCCCAGGTTCAACCCCCAGCAGAGGAAGGCGGGGGGGGCAGGAAGCCACTGCTAGGGGGAGCTGCTGCCAGTCCGTGCGCAGTGTCACTGTTACCATGATGCTGTCCTACTGGTTACCTTTCTGGCTGACAAACTCGTTTTCTGGTCTCTTTTCCTCTTCCAGTAACTGCCCTTCCCTTCTGGCGGCGGCCGTAGCCCGTGCCACGGCAGATGAAGTCCTTCGGGGGGACCTCTCGGCATATCACTTGCCCAGGCACGCAGACAGTCCGGACGGGATCATCCGTAAGTGCTGGTCTAACCTGGGTCTGTGGTTGTGTCAGCCGAGTCTCTTGGCGCGACCCAATCCTGAGTTCCTCGGATTCCCTGGAAAAGTAGCCCGTCTCCCTTTCTTGCTCTTGCCCTGGAGTGGCAGGCTTTTCCATGGACCCCCACATTTGAACTATGCCGAGGAAGCCAAGAATCCGTGCCCTTTCCGGGAATCCGTGGGGTCACTTGCCACCTTTCCCCCCCCTCTAGTGGGGTTGGAGCGAATTGTTTGAGTTGCCTGCCAGCCCGGAACACCAAAGTGGAATCCCCCATCTCCTGCCTCAGATTTGGGAAACAATGATTTCATGGCGAGACAAAAACCCTTGTCGCAGGGCCGCCTAAACGTTGGCCTGCCTCAACCACTTGGATGAGCATCCAGCTGGGCTCAACTGGGAGCCGGTAGGATTTCTGGAGACAGAAAGTTGGGAGAAACTAGGGCCCCTTAAAGGTTGTAGGACAGCCACTCGCATCGACACCTGCCAGCACATCCGATGATGGTCACAGACGGTGGGGGTTGTAGTTCCGTCCTCTTTTGCATCCTCCCTCAAGACCACGGCTTCGTTTCACCAGCCACCGGAACCCTTCCCACCCTCCTTTTTTTTTTTAAGACCAAATTTTCCTCTCTGGCTTGTTTGCATGTTATGATGCAGCAAAATTTCCCCTCCACCCTCAGGGCAGCTTGTTCAGGCTTCTGCTGACTCAGCTCCCTCCGCGGGTTGCTCCAAACAGCTCATTACCATGAAGGATAGGATCTCCTACGACAAGCTGACAGGCCAGTTGTTGTTCAGCCAGGAAAATGATCTCATCTTTCTTCTCCCTTCCCTGGTCTTTGCTTAAACCATTAAAAAAAATTCCTGTGGCATTTGCAATTGTGAAGCTGAGAAACGCCACCGTCTCTACCCCGCTCTCCCTGCTTGTAGGCACTGCTGCCTTTCACATCCTTATCAGGTGAAGGAAGCCGATTTGTCATTGTTCTGGCTGAGCAGTTCTCATTAGCTCCAAATTGAGATCTCTTAAACTCGCATAAATATTTGACAGTTTCCCAGGAAATGTTGACATTTTTCAGACTAATCATCCGCACGGAATATTTGAGGACGCGGGAAGTTCTTTCCAGGCTGCCCTACTCAGAACGCTTTCCTGCACTGGCCAAAAACACGGCAAGGTGGCAATTCCTGGACTGAGAACACAGGTGGGCCGTGTGCCAACCGAGAGACCCCACGCGGTGCCGGCAGCTAAGACTGGTTTGCCGGGGGAAGAGGAGAGGAGAGCTGCAGGTCACATCTGTGCTGGCACTTGCGGCCCTTGCTGACTGGAAAGAAGGCACCGCTTTAAGCTCCCAATCCCCATTCGTTTGCTGGACATTTGGCTCCTCTTTGGGTTGCTAAGGTAGAAGGATTTGCACAGTGCATGTCTTATCGTGAGATTCGTTGCATTTACTTCACGATCAGTGCTTTCGGACACCACAACTAGTGGAAATCGCCACCTGCTCCCATGTTTAGGATCTGGCCATCTGTAGAGACACACCGCCTGGAATCAGCTTGGCTTCCTTGCTTCTCTGGCGGCCGAAAACAGCCGTCCAGCCACTCCTGTGAGGTGGAGTTGCCCAGGCAGGCGCTCCGATGGCAATGGATGCGATGAAGCAGCCTGTTTTCTGCAACACGCACCCCTACTGTTCTCAGGCGAGGGGGGGGGAGATGAAATGGCGCACGGCAGAGGCAGGACAGCAGCTGACTCAGCCCTGGCACAGCACCGCAACCATGAACGAGGGATGAGTAATTTACAGCTGTGCGGGGGTGGCAAGGCTGTGGAGGGCTCTTTAAAAACAGAGATCCGAAGCAGCAATTACTGAAGAGGTGAACATAAAGAGTGCTCTCTCACGAGGGAAAGGGGGAGCCTTTCAGGAACCAGAACCAGCACATGGACACCTTCCACGGGAGTTTTCCCCTGGCGGCCAAGCTTCCCTGCCTCCTTTCCGATGCCACACCCAGCATAAAGACACCGTCACGCGGCAGCTTGGCGCAGACCTCGGGCAATCCCTCCAAAGAGCTGGTTGGACCGAACCACACACGGGAAACACGGCCTTTCTGTTTTGCAACCCAGAGTAGCTGAAAATCCATCTGCCGTTGCCCTGACGTCGAACGACTTGGGGCTGCCTGAGGCCAGGGAGGCAGACTGGGCAGGTGAGAAGAAGGGCCGCCAGCCGCTGGCTCCTCAGTGGTGGCCATATTAAACGATGGAAGGCTGCCAGGGAAGGACACATTCTACCCGTGTGGCCAGTGAACACCCTTGTTTTGCTTCAGGCCTGGCAGATGCTGGAAAGCTGTGTTTTGGTCATTTCTGTCCTGTCAGCAGAGCTCCGGAGCTGACCGAGCAGGCAAGGCGTAGCTGATCCTAGACATTCAAAATGATGCAGCAGGCAGTTCATGGGGGATTTGAAAACTAAATGGTAAAGCTTAATCCACACCCTCCATTTTTCCAAAGGGAAAAAATTAAGAGTGAATGGAAGTACAACTGAATCAAATGGGACAGGCAAGTGACATATAACTGACAGCTGTAGCACGTCTTAAAATACTCCTTTGCCCCTTGCAGAAGTAGAGACAGAGAAGCTGGCCCGCACGGTGTTTTCCAAACTTCATGAAACCTGCAGCAGCTGGGTGAAGGACTTCCCCCTCCATCCGAAGCCCCACCGTTACTATGAAACATCCATCCATGCGATCAAGAACATGCGCCGGAAGATGGAAGACAAGCACGTCTGCATTCCAGACTTCAACACACTTTTCAATCTTGAGGTAACGGTCCTTCTTGAGGGTGCAAAACTAGGGCACACTGGGCAATCCTCAGGGAGGGCAAGCACCAGGAGATTCCGGGGTGGAGAGAGAGAAAGGAGATGTAAGTGCTTGTTTCTACTTGCCAATAAGCTTCTTCTCCTAGGGAGGCAGTTGGTGGCCATGAAACAGCCAGAGAACTGTCACAAAGCCAGCCACTTGTGCACTCCCTGTCTTGAATCCCCAGAGCGATATTAATAACACACCCACACCATTGTCCGAGGATTGTGTCCAGACTGCCCTGCCTTAGCTTCTTCTTGCTTCTCTGGGATTTCCTTGGCAGGATCAAGAGGAGCAGGCCTATTTTGCCGTCTTCGATGGCCACGGAGGCGTGGACGCCGCCATCTACGCGTCCATCCACCTTCATGTGAACCTGGTGCACCAAGAGATGTTCCAGCACGACCCCGCAGAGGCCCTCTGCAAAGCCTTCAGGGTGACGGACGAACGCTTTGTGCAAAAGGCAGCCAGAGAGGTGGGTGCGGTTGTCTCGAGCCACGTGCAGCAGGGCCGGCGGGAGCGCCAGAGACGGGTGGGTGGGGGGTCCAGCAGGGCGGATTCGCCTCCTGGGCCTGCCGTTCTCCAAAGAGAGGTGGGAGGGACCGTTCAGTCCCCCCCTTTGGACACCGAGGGCCAGCCTGTGGGAATCTTCTCTTCTTCGTTCCTTTTCCTTTGGCACAACACAGAAACAGCAGAAGGCAGGGAGGCCGTCTTTGGAAAACAGCCTCAGGTTTTGCACCCTGATGGGATTTACCTGTGGCTGTTTTTTTCCCCCCCTTCAGAAATTACATCAGAGGCTGCAAAATGTGACATTGATATTGCTGAGCATATGCGAGGCTTCAGTTTAGAACGAAGGACTGATGGATGATGGCAATTCCAAACAATGCGGCAGAACTGTACAAAACAAATCACCCTTTTTTTTCTTTTTTGGCTGAGGTGTGTTACAGTTGCCAATGGCAGTCCTCTGGCTCCTTCCAAGCCTATGCCAAGATATGGGCTTTGTTTTCTCCCTAGAGCCTGCGGTGCGGGACCACGGGCGTGGTGACGTTCATACGAGGGAACATGTTGTACGTCGCGTGGCTGGGAGACTCCCAAGTGATGCTGGTGAGAAGGGGCCAAGCGGTGGAACTGATGAAGCCTCACAAGCCGGACCGAGAGGTGAGGCCCTGTCCGGCATGGCACGTTCCCCTCCGCGCTTCTGATTCAGGTCCAGCCCATTAGCTCTCTCACCTTTGCACTGACATGCGGGCTGCAATTGTCAGTCACCAGTTTTTTTTTTACTCCACTTTTAACCCGTGAAAGTGGACACAGAACTGATCTTTTAGGGAAATGCACAGAGCAGTGCTGGCAGCAGCAAGACATCTCCTCACCTCGTTACGTTACCGTCTGTTTCTAGGATGAGAAGAAACGCATCGAGGCCCTCGGGGGCTGCGTGGTCTGGTTCGGGGCTTGGAGAGTGAACGGGAGCTTGTCTGTCTCCAGAGCAATTGGTAAGAAATCTAGTTTTAAATTCTGCCTTTCGTTCCTGGTCTCTTCTTTATTCTGGCATCTCGGCTTCAAATATCAGAGAGGTACATTTTGGTGGTCACTGTTTACTTGGTGGGGGGGGCAGCAAACAGTACGATACAAATAAAAAGTTTTGGGAAAGGACAGAATCAAGAGAGCAGGCCTAAGGCAACCCTAAAAGCCCTCGAGGAGATCATGCACGGTTCCGATCACACCCTCCGTAAGAAAGTGTGGCTGCTCTGGGACTCCTGACGGAGGACAGCTAAGCAGTCTCTTGGCTTCTCACTAGGCGGCACTCCATCCGGGCAGACTTGTTGCAGAAACGAGTTTGAACTGAATGGGGACTGCATTTTTATTTCACCAGTCCATTTTAGTCAATTGTGCTTACAGTATCTAACATTTTTATTCCTTATGTATCGCAACTCAACTTGTATGGTTTTACTGTAAACTACCTTGTCACATCTCAGGGAGAAAGGCTGGATGTAAACTGAAAAAAATAATAAATAATTATTGAGCTGGGGGAAAGTACAGAATAGTTCACCCAAAGCAAAGACGCTCGGGGTGGGTGAGAGTCAGGGAGACGATCCAGTGGGAGCAAAAGGCCAGTCGGTGTGTGTTGTATTAATTAAAGGGAAGCTACAGCTCCACATAGCAGGTGTGGAAATGAAGAGTTGGAAGTTTAGAATCCCCTTCCTGAACAGCAAAGCTGTTAACAAAGGCTAAGTGATGACACGTTTCCTGGCTTCCAATGGTGCATGGGTTTTGCTCATCCCATTAAGCCAGAGGATTTGACAGCACCTGCCCTTTGCGAGCGGCCCTTCTGAGGCAGCGGATGGGCAGAGGGCAACCCCAGCTCTTCGCAAGGACCGGGGGGGCCCTCCAAGCCATTTCCCACAGTCCTGGTCTGATGGGCTTCGGCTGCCCTCTGGAACCTGGGCAGCGGTTCCTAGGAGAGGCCCACGAGCATGACTCGTACCGAGCAAGCCCCTCTTTTACAAACCCGCCGGCCTCACAGATCAAACCCTGGGAGGCAGCAAGCAGCCCATCTGTCCTGCCCTTGGAATAGTCCAGCCCCACCAGTAGGACTCCTGGCTCATGAGAAGCCTGGGTCATAAACTACAATGGTTAACTGCCAAGCTCGTTTAAAGCTATAGGGTTGCCAATAATCAAATCAGTACTCAGTTTTGACCTTTTAAATTCAAGCTTTTAAAAGCTGGCCATTTCTTCACTTCTGGTGCCCTGTTAGGCACCTTGTACATTTCATGAAATTCTGGCCGTTCACATGTCACGGGTTTGGACAGCCAAGCCTCTTGTCCCAGTTTAGTGAGTTTTGTATTAGTGAAAGGAGGCACCTTGTACATTTGATGAAATTCTGGCCATTCACATGTCACGGGTTTTTGGTCAGCCAAGCCTCTTGTCCCAGTTTAGTGAGCCTGCTGGCCTCGCTTGGTCCCTGCTTGCCATAAGCGCCTTCTTCGGCTTGGTTTTTCCCTCTGCTCCAGGGGATGCCGAGCACAAGCCATACATCTGTGGAGATGCAGATTCCGCCTCTACGGTTCTGGATGGATCCGAAGACTACCTCATTCTAGCCTGCGACGGCTTCTACGACACGGTGAACCCCGACGAAGCCGTGAAGGTGGTGGCCGACCATCTGAAGGAGAACAACGGGGACAGCAGCATGGTGGCACACAAGCTGGTGGCTTCAGCGCGCGATGCCGGCTCCAGTGACAACATCACTGTCATTGTGGTCTTTCTCAGGGACATGAACACGTCCGTCAGCGTCAGCGAGGAGTCCGAGTGGACAGAGAACTCGTTCCAAGGCGGGCAAGAGGACAGCGGCGACGACAAGGAAAACCACGGAGATTGCAAGAGGCCCTGGCCTCAGCACCAGGTCTCAGCACCTGCGGATCTAGGCTACGACGGGAGAGTGGATTCTTTCACAGACAGAACTACCTTGAGCCCTGACGCCAGGATCAACGTATTGGAAGACCCGGCCAGCTTAGACCTGAGGAAAACAGAAGCTAGCAAAATCCAGAGTGCCAAACGCCTGTCCCCGGATCAAGAGCTCAGCGCCGGTGTACCAAAGAGAGCAACGCTGGGTCATGGGTTGTCGGCCAAGAGCGAGGCAGTGGCCGATGCTGCGTCTCCTACAGACGGGCAAAGCGGCCTCCAGGCCTCCCTCGGTTTGGGATCTGCCGCCCCACGGGGGTGCAACGTGGTGAACGAGTCTTCCCCCTCGGCTGGGCTAGAAGGCGAAGAGTTCTCATCGTGGGGGAGACGCGCTTCCATTTTCTCTCACTTCCACTTCTGTGACACAAAGCGGTGGCAACGACTCGCCAGACTCAAGCCCAAGCTCCACATGCTTCTCTTCGCGCACAGGCCCCCTTCCCGCACAGAAGGGCTGGCGCTGTGCTCGCCTAGCGGTCTCAACGGCCGTAGAAATAAGGGGCTGAGCCGCCACCTCTGGCCGGGCCTCTCTCACTGCGGCCAGGATCACAGTGAAAAAAGTATTCTCCTGACACTAAGGCCAGGGCCCTGTATACCAGGCCCATGGCAGCTCTGGAGCTGTCACAAATAATGCGCTCCTTTCTCTGCTCCCTCCCATCTTCCCCCCAAATAGTTAGGTTAGACCTTCACAGAATGGGAAGTCCTTCAGAGGGAGCATTCCAGAACCGACAGAGTTACGGAATGCTCCACTCACTGTAAATAGATTCTAGGAATTAAACAAAAGTGTTTCAGTCTCAAACAGTGAAAACTAAGGGCTGGCATGCCAGTCACTCAGCAATGTCACAAACGTATTCATTCCTCCCTCTTTTTCTCTTCACTAACACACACACAAACACACATACACACTAACTGTATTCATTCCTCCCTCTTTTTCTGTTCACTAACACACACACACACAAACACACATACACACTAACAGAGAGAAACAAACATGTAGTATCTATAGCTTCATTTGCTAAATGGAACTTAAAAGCACTAGGTATTCACGGGGCTAGCTAAGAAAGTGCCATTTTTAACAAGAGATTGCAAAAAAAAGGTGAAGCTTGTCTGAGATGAGTCTGTGGAGCAATATTTTCAGAAAGATCCCATTTTAAAATCTTTCAGCTTTTTTAGGTGGGATGGGGCGGGGCGGGAAGGAAGCAGGAAGACCTTTGTCCAGTTTGCAAGCAAGACAGAATCCTTTTAAAGTTTAAAGGGTGCATGTGTGCGCGCATGTGTGCGTGTGCAGAAATCAGGAAGCTCTGCAGGTATGTTACTAAAAGCCATATTGGGGAGGGGAGGGCTGTCTGGGATTTGAGCACTCCTTGTGCACCCAGCAAGACTCGGATCAAGGTGTAATACGGAACCGTTGGCTCCGTTTCCCTTTCTGTAGTGTAAACGGGGGAAAGGAAGGAATAGCTTTTCTACTTTTTAGACACGATTTCCTGTGGCTGAAATTTCAATAGCACAGAGGAGGGGGGTCTGAGGGCCGTACTTGGTGACATTAGCCTTTCAGACAGAAAAAAAGTAATAGAGTTAAATCTGTTTGCCTTTAGAAATAGTTGTGATGAATTCCTTCCGCTCGCCTTCCCAGTCCCTTCTATTTCAGGTGTCCACAAAAGCTCGTTCAGATGCAAATACCTTGTCCTACAAACTGATGGGAGCTGGCAAATGGCTTTGCCGATCATTTGTCCAGCGACCCAGATAAGAGAATCTGGCCTTTGGAGGGACACTGTGGTGCCGGAACGGTTTCACGGTTTGGCATGGTTTGCTCGGTCATCTCAAGAGACCTTAAAAATATGATATTAAGGTGACAGGCATATCCAGCCTCTGGACCGGGAATACAAGTAGGGGCAAGGAGGGGGGGTGGCGGAAATGCAAGACGATGGCAGGCCACCTGCTTGTACCCTGAGTAGCTGAGGACGTTTGCTGCAGAGAAACAGGCAAGCCTGAGAACTGCCTCCCTGTATCTTAATGAGCAAAACACTAATCCAAAAAGCAAAGTGACTTTTGCATTAAGTAGCTAACGAGACAGCAAAAAAAGAATTAAAACTAACACATTTAACAGGCTTCTTGGTGACTAGCGTTCACAGGACTGATCCTGAATGTTATCAAGCTCTGACTATAGTCCACCATTCCAAAAAGATTTAATTCTAGCTGAAGAATGTTATTAAGCAGTGAATTCTGACATTATGGCAAACTCATCCAAGGATTAGGAATGCAGCTAGTTTAGAAGGATATCTTAAATAAGCTTTGTTGGGTTCACTGATGGACAGGCACCATTTCTGAAAATGTTTCCA